ATACATAAGTTATATAGGGATGATTTATATAGTTAAAGGGAACTATGGTTTATGAATTATAAAGTGAAGAGCTACAAAGCTTTATGAAAGAGTATATATATAAAGTAATGGGAAATTGAACTAATTAAATAGATTAAATTAGTATATATAGATGAATTATGTAAGTGAAAGGGGAAATGAGATAAAATAAGTAGAAGTTATTTATAGGATAGAATGAGACTATTTAATCATGTATTATAAACTTTATAAAGGATGACTTAGGTTAAATCATTATATGATATAAATATAGGGATTTACTATGTAAATTATATTAAAGAGACATGGTTACACGATTACAAGATATGATATCGGACATTAGATATATGAAAGAGAAAGTATATGTGATATGAGAAAGTGAAACAAGTTAAATGATATTGAATCAGGTGAATATAAGAGATTAAAGTATAAATTATATGAAAAGATATAAGTCATAGGATATGAAATGTTTATAGGAACACATGAGAAGTGTTATATGCCATGTGATACATGAATACGAAATGATATGAGAATTTACATGAACTACGTGATTAAATGTATATGTGAATGAAGCTACGAGTTTATATGAATATGTGATATATTTATATGAATATGAAAAAGGATATAAAAGATAATGCCCATGATATGTGTCCTGAGAGCTAGGGGTATAGTTGGCATGCCAAGAGTCGAGGGTCTACGCGGTCCTTCGGGACATATATGTATTCCTTGGAACATGTGTGAGGTCTTTTGAGACACATACTTGATCATTTGTATATGTATATGATTCTTAAGGAATTTTCTACGTGGTCCTTAGGGACATTTTATATGGCACTTCGGTACAATCCTACGTGGCACTACGGTGCATTTCTACGCGGCACTTCGGTGCAATTATATGAGGCACTACGGTGCATTTCTACGCGGCACTTCGGTGCAATTATACGAACTGTGGTGACAACATTTGTGCACAACCTCTATAAACTCACATATCTATAGTTCTCACATGTGTACATGGGCTAATAAAGAAATAACAACAAACATATTACATGTGATTTGTATGCTTTTATGCTATGAATTGTATTATATGATTTATATGATGATATGTGGATTGTATGATTAAATGAGTAAAATGTTGGTTAAAATGTTAGGTATAAGAGGATATGTATGAAGTGAGATAAATAATAATGATATTGATAATGAAATAAGGCTAATGATGGAAATGATGAGTATATGTGTATATATGTTCTTACATGTAATTATATATTGCATATGTGTTATAGGGATTTGTTATATGAATAAGGGTATGATTGATAGCAGTAATAGTTCATGCATGATTATAAGTTATAGTTTACATTATATGTTTATTTGCCTCACTAAGTCATAGACTTAGCGTGTGATTGTTTCACACGTAGGTACAGAATCGAGAAGAGAAGCGAAGAAGAGCAAGACATGTCAGCATATCCCTTACAAAATTTCAGATCAGAAAATAGATAATTTAAATGTGTTTGGTTGTTTTGAATATAGTTGGCATGTACTAATTGATTGAGTTGAAAATACTCTGATTGATTTTGGTTATTTTGGTCACTTTATGTAAATAAACCACTTTTATTTTAATGAAAGTTTTAAATTTTCTTTGAATTTTCTCAAGAGTCAAAGTTTGAAAAGTCAATGTGACACCTCAGACTCGTATTCGAGTTGGGTACGGGTTGGGGGTGTTACAGTATCGGTACCCTTATAGAAATCTATAAATTTTACCCATAAATAACTGTTCATGCACAAAAATTCACTATTTCAACTTCAATTCTTCATGTTTCATTCCCTTTTATATTCTTAACTCAAATATACATACTTAAACTAATTTCTACTCATTTATCACATCTTAAACCTCAAAATCTTCTCCTCTTTATGAACTTCAAGAATCATACCCAATTTTCAATATACTCCAAATTCAATTCTATCACTTCATATCTCTTAATTAAGTTGATGACAAGTCAAAAATCTCATCAAAACTTTAAAAACCACATCATATCAAAAATACATCTTAAAACCCATTTTACAAATCCCTTCCTAATTCACTCATCTTATTGTTTAAATCCTATATAAGCTTTCCTTAAGCTTATATAACACCCAAAGAATCAAAATCCACTTAGAAATCCAAGAATTAAAGAACAAAATCAACTCACCTTTGAAGCTCCCTTTGTTCACGGTGAAGAAGAAGAAAGCAAGAAGAAGAAGAAGATAATTCTTCCCCCCCACGTGATTCATTCATATAAGGGGAAAATATCTTTCTTGTCAAATGACCATTTTGCCCTTTAATTCCTTGGATAATTACTAACAACTTTCCGGAAATATTCCCAAATAAATCATTGAACTATTCAACTATTCTACTTTTATCCCCAAATTCTAAAATTTTACAATTTAGTCATTAACCCGTAGTTTGAGATGTTACACAGGGAGATACGAAATTCCCCATGTGAAAAGAAGATTGTTTATGCCTAAGCAGAATGGGGATTATAAGTAATGGAAACCCAGCGGATTCTTGGAGTGAAACGAGTGAAGGGTTTACATTCAATGGATTTGAAGAGATAGTAAGGAAGAAGAATAGGGATTATAAGTAATGGAAACCCAGCAGATTGAACCCAAGTTGAAACCCATCTGCTCGAGCCCTTATGGTTGAAATAGTACTTTGAGAGCAAGCTTGAAGACAATGAACCAACAAAGAGGAAGGCGTAGTTGAGTAGTAAATGAGGGAGGTAACGCTTGTTTTTCATGGATTTCTGGTCTGGTTTAGGGCGGAACTTGAAGGTGAAGTATTAGAGATGTTCATGGTGACCAAAACGGAAAAAGAGAATAATTGAGTGATGTATATTTGAATCTACCCAATTTAAACAACATTAAACAGAGGAATTGGACTGCTTGACATGTCACTTCAGCACAAAGTAACAGAACCATTGGTCAATGATGAAAAATATTGGTCAAAAGATCATATTGAGTTATTTTTTCCGGTTGAATGGTCACATTGATAAAAAAAGAATAGGGACTACATTGATATTTTTAAAGCTAAAGGGCCTCGAGTGCCTTTTTACCATTATGATTAAATTAATAAATGTTATAAAAATTGAGTAAAAGTTATATCCTTTAATTTTATTAGGGTAAATGAGTAGAGTTTGAAGGAATAAGAGATTGTTCGTATTCGGTTTTTTATTTTTAAAAGTGTTCATGTTCGTTTAAATCTTTAATATCGTGTTTGTTTATTTATTTTCAAAGGTGTTCATATTTGTTTAATTTTTTAATATTGTGTTTATTTATTTTTAAAAGTGCTCATATTCGTTTATATTTTTAATATCTATCCCTAAGCTCATGTTCGTTCGTTTAATGTTCGCGAACATGTTCTTTTAATGTTTGTTATTGTATTTATATAAATGCTTGTGAACGCGTTCATTTAATGTTCATTTTGTGTTCTTGTTCATTTATGGTTCGCGAATATGTAGATTTACATTTACATTTACAAGCACATAGACTTTTTCGGATCAAATGATTTTGGTGTACACACAAGAACAGAATCCCCAAGTGCGGATAGCTTTTATAATAAGAGTCCAATTACATTTGAAGACTCGGTTCCCAGCACTCCGGCCTCCAAGTTTGTGAACTCTTCATCAATGGATTTTGACAGTTTCTCAAGGTTTGATTCCTTCAGCATGCATGACGGTGGATTTTCAACACAACCCCAATATGCTCACAAGGTTCGACTCCATAAACAGTAGCAAAGACTTTGGCAGTGGATTTCACAGCAACCCGAGACGCTCACTAGGTTCGATTCCATGAATAGCAGCAAAGACTTTGGTCATGGGTTCTCATTTGATGTCTCCGATCCGTTCGGCTCCAGCGGGCCATTTAAAGTCTCATTGGACCAGCATAGTCCGAAGAAAGATTCCGACGATTGGCGTGCTTTCTAGCTGATAATCCGAAAGAGAAGTAAATCTCCCTGGGGCTCATCTGCTCATTTTGGTGTTTTTGTTGAGATGCCTACCTTTTACTATGTGCTGTTGTGCACAGCTTGGAATTGGATTGTTGTAAATGGGGGGCGGGGTGTTAGCATGCCAGAATTGTGATGGGAAAATAATATTAATAGTTTGAGGATTCAATTAGAACATTTTCAAGTTTTGAGTATCAATCTGAAGTTTAAAGCATAGTTTAGAGACAGTTAGTATAATTAACTCATACTAATTTCATTTACCGGTGCTGGAAACCAACCCCCATTCATGGTATCTGATTAGAGGTTGAATGGAATAAAGCTGCTCCTAAACGGATTATAATGTGTTATATTATTTATAGCATAAATTACAGATTTGGTAAATAAATTTTACTTTCTTTCCTATTTCACTCACTGTACTTTAAATCTTTTCAATTTCCTCATTAAATTTAATATGTTGAGTTTTTTTGGTTATTCGACCGTTTTCTCACTAACGATGTTAGGAAGTGGCTTCTTTTATTTTAATTTTTAATGGATAAATTCTAAATTTAATCACTAAAATTTACTCTCTCTCTTATTTCACTCACTATACTTCTAATTATTTTCAATTCAATCATAAAATTTTTTGGTCATTCCTCTGGTAACAATAAGAAAGCCACATCATGGTACTGTTAGTGAGGAAACAACTCAGTGGTTAAATAAAATCTAATATATTAAGTTCAACGAAAAATTAAAAAAAAATTAAATATAATAAATAGAATAGGAGATAGAGTATAGTTTAATGGATAAATTTGTAATTTTCTCGATTATTTATAAGACATATTTTTCATGTTACACTTGGGTGAAGGCAGGGAGTGGGGTAAGCGGAGGTTGCATGATGAGTTGGTGCCTCCACCCTCTTTCTCATTTGACAGATGAGAAGATGACTACTCTTGTTTGGGTCAACTTTTCTATTTTCCAACTCTTAAAATCTCTTCTCTTTTTTATTTTTCTTTTAAATTTAGTTCTATTTGATTTGATTTGATTTAATTTAATTTTCTCCGCTGCTTCTTTCGTTTGTTTTCTTCTCAACTCCGTCACCACTTCCTCAAGACATCGAAGGAACCAAACCCTAATTCAAATTCCTTCGAAACCCCCCAATTTCGATCAGTTCATGCAAGTCAAACAACATGTGGGAGCAATACACTTCGCACCTTTAATCCAGCTTCAGCTTTTCTTCGATTCTTCGAGCTATAACTAGAGCTTTTTATCCAGCACATCCTTCATATTCCTTTATTGTCTTTCCTCAAGATCAACAGGGTATGTTTCCTTTTCCTCCTTTCTTTAATCAGCTGTGAATTGCAGCAAGTTGCTACCTTTTCCAATCTGAAGTTTCTACTTTTATATTTGGTTGGGGGTGAAGTTATTGCCAAGTTCGATTTTCTAGATTTTAACAGCTTGCAGTTAGATTCTAATCTAAATTCATTGCTTAGTCGAGGTAATTAAGATTTGTAATTTGAGCTTTTGGATTCTCTTTTCCGTATTCTTTATTTCCCGTGTCTTAATTTTGCTGCAAACATTTATGGCCAGGCACTTAGTTTTAAATTGGAATCATGTCTTACTTTTTCATATCAATGCTTAGCGTTGTTAATGGTCACATAGTAGCTCCTTGATTTGTGGTTGATCCCTTGAGCTTTGATTTAGCTTTTTTTAATTGTTTCCTGCCTTGCTTCTAATGATTTCTGGACAACCGCTTAGTGGTTAGTTTTGAATTTCACCTAGTCTTCTGCATCATTTTGGCAAGCTAGTTGAGGTTTAAATTTGGAATCATGTCTAACTTTTTCGTATCGATGCTTAGGTTTGTTAATGGTCACATAGTAGTTCCTTGATTTCTGGCTGAACCCTTGAACTTTGATTTTGCTGTTTTTAATTGTTTCCTGCCTACCTTCTAATGATTTCCCGACAAGCACTTAAGTGTTAGTTTTAAATTTCTCCTAGTGTTCTGCACCACCTTGGCAAGTTAATGGAGGGTTAAATTTGAAATCATGTGTCTTTTTCATATCAAGATAGTAGCTCCTTGATTTTGGGAGAGCCGAGATAAAATTAAAAAATATTTTTAAAGGGCTTAAATTAAATAAATGATTTTTAGGAGGGTCAAAAGTGTGATTTTTCCACTTAGCTAATGGGTTAAAAGGCCTAAATTAAATGTTCAATATTTGGGAGGGACGGAAAAGTGATTATTGCCAAGCGCGCCTCACTTCATCTCTGTTGGCAAAGCTAATGGAGGGTTAAACTGGAATCATGTCTGTCATACTGTGTACTTCCATACCAAAACATAGCATATGTTATGGTCATGTAGTAGCTCCTTGATTTTGGTTGGACCCTCGGACTTCGGTTTTGCTGTCTTTAACTATTTCTTGTTTGCCTTCTACCAATTGTTATCTCATTGGTTATTCCAATTGCTATTGTCTCTGTTAATGGTGCAAGTTTTTAATAAGCTGATTATTTACATTTTTTTCGTTTTTGCAGTGACTATAAAGGCAGATGGCTGCGAGCTGGGATGGAAGTTATGACCCTGGCAGTCAGTCAGATGATAGCCATCATTTTGAGAGACTGCACATAGAACCCCTTTATGATGCATTTGTTTGTCCTTTGACAAAACAAGTTATGCGTGACCCTGTGACGTTGGAAAATGGCCAAACATTTGAACGTGAAGCAATTGAGAAATGGCTCAAGGAATGCAGGGAAAGTGGAAGAAAGCTGGTTTGCCCATTGACCCTAAAAGAACTGAAAAGCACCGATCTAAACCCAAGTATCGCTTTGCGGAATACCATTGAAGAGTGGACAACTAGGAATGAAGCAGCCCAGCTTGATATGGCTAGTAGATCTCTAAATATGAACAGTTCAGAGAATGATGTTCTGCTGTCTCTTAAGTTTATCCAGCATATCTGCCAAAAAAGTCGATACAATAAGCATGTTGTACGCAATGCTGATCTAATACCTATGATTGTGGACATGCTAAAGAGCAGCAGCCGTAAGGTTCGGTGCAGAGCATTGGAGACACTCCTCGTAGTGGTCGAGGAAGATGAAGATAATAAGGTTGTTCTAGGTTTGATGATTTCCTGTTGAGTGACAATGACATCATTGTCGTGTATGCATCCAGGACTGGATTATTAACTACTTATGCATTATTTTTCAGGCAATATTGGCTGAGGGGGACACTGTGCGTACCATAGTTAAATTCTTGTCCCATGAACAGTCCAAGGAGAGGGAGGAGGCAGTCTCTTTGCTGTATGAACTTTCAAAATCTGAAGCCGTGTGTGAGAAGATTGGTTCTATTAATGGAGCAATTCTTATATTAGTTGGAATGACCAGCAGTAAATCTGAGAACGTTTTAACTGTTGAGAAAGCTGATAAAACACTAGAAAATTTGGAAAAGTTTGAGAACAATGTCCGACAGATGGCTGAAAATGGTAGACTGCAGCCTCTTTTGACCCAGATTCTTGAAGGTGCTTCTCTTTTTCCTTGATAATTTCATGTTTTCCTAACTTGCTGCCGGCATAAAGGGCCTCTGTTTTTGGGGGTGGAGTCATATACGGCATTGTCAGTTTAGTGTGGATCCTTTTACATAACAATGATTGCCTCTAGCTATGTTACTCGGACTCTTCATTTATCATGAAGTACCTGTGTTTGACACTCGTGTCCAACACTTTGATTGGGGGATATGAACTCTAATGATCCTCTGAATACATGGAAAAACTTAGAAAAATCTGGTCATACCCATGTCGGATACATAGCCGTGTCCGACACTTGCACCCGAGTCTGAGTAACATAGTCCTCTAGTGTTCATACATAGCCCTTAGTTCATTTGTCCTAACCCTGAAACTTGCTAGTTATTTCTTTACTGCTTGATCTGCGATGAAATACCTGCTTGCTTTGGCGATTTTTTGTTGGCATCCTTGGCTGATAATCTTTCATCTCTGAAATTTGCATTCTGATCATGTACATTGCTACTTCTCTATAATTTATGTAAAATGACATTGTTGCAGGCACGCCTGAAACAAAGCAGTCCATGGCCGCTTATCTTGGTGAGTTGGTTTTGAACAATGATGTGAAAGTCTATGTTGCAAGAACCGTAGGTGAATCTCTTATCAATCTCATGAAAAGTGGTAACATGCAATCAAGAGAAGCTGCTCTGAAGGCACTTAACCAGATTTCATCTTACGAGGCAAGCTCCAAGGTGTTGATCGAGGCAGGAATGCTTCCCCCTCTTGTCAAAGACCTCTTTACCGTTGGGGCCAATCATCTTCCCATGCGACTTAAAGAAGTCTCAGCCACAATTCTGTCCAATGTTGTAAACTCAGGATATGATGTTGATTCCATTCCTATTGGGCCGGACCATCAGACTCTTGTTTCTGAAGACAATGTCCATAACTTACTTCATCTAATCAGCAACACTGGTCCGCCAATTGAGTGCAAACTTCTTCAAGTTCTTGTGGGGCTCACTAGTTCTCCGACAACAGCTCTGAATGTTGTTGCCGCAATTAAAAGCTCTGGAGCTACTATCAGTTTGGTTCAGTTTATAGAGGTTCCGCAGCAGGATTTGCGAATGGCGTGCATAAAACTTCTCCAGAATCTCTCTCCTTACATGGGTCAGGACTTAGCAGATGCACTTCGTGGCACAGTTGGTCAGCTCAGCAGCCTATTCAGAGTCGTATCAGAAAACACGGGAATTTCTGAAGAACAGGCAGCAGCTGCCGGCCTCTTAGCTGAACTCCCGGAGAGGGATTTGGGCCTCACAAGGCAAATGCTAGACGAAGGTTCTTTTCAGCTAATAATCTCTAGAGTTGTCAAGATCAGGCAAGGAGAGACTAGGGGCTCCCGCTTTGTAACACCAGTCCTCGAAGGACTTGTTCGTGTGCTTGCAAGGGTTACTTTTGTCTTGTCAGAGGAACCCGATTCCGTTGCTCTTTGCCGTGAGTACAATCTTGCAGCATTATTCATTGAATTGCTTCAGGCCAATGGTCTCGACAACGTCCAGATGGTCTCCGCCACGGCTTTGGAGAACTTATCTCAAGAATCCAAAAATTTGACAAGACTGCCGGAGTTGCCACCACCTGGGATTTGTGCTTCTATCTTTCCATGTTTCAGCAAACAGGCCGTCATAACAGGATTGTGTCGCGTCCACCAGGGAACATGTTCACTTAAAGAGAGCTTTTGTCTTTTGGAAGGACAGGGTGTACATAAGCTGGTTGCGCTCTTGGATCACACCAACGTGAAGGTGGTCGAAGCAGCACTTGCTGCACTTTCCACCTTGTTGGATGACGGAGTTGCTATCGAGCAAGGAGTGTTCGTTTTGTGTGAAGCAGAAGCAATTAAGCCCATACTCGACGTGTTACTTGAGAAACAAACAGAGAACTTAAGGAGCAGAGCCGTTTGGGTCGTAGAGAGACTTTTAAGAACCGAAGATATAGCCTATGAAGTTTCTGGAGATCAAAATGTTAGCACTGCACTTGTTGATGCCTTCCACCATGCCGACTACAGAACCCGACAGATTGCCGAGCGTGCCCTGAAGCACGTTGACAAAATCCCAAACTTCTCCGGAATTTTCCCAAACATGTGATGAATTTGTTGTATTGCGCATTATATGGAGAGTAGCAACGTGTATGTATTTTCAGTTTCATCCTTTTGTCTCCCTACATGGATAGTTTTGCAAGTAGATATTATTGTATATTGATGGATTTCCCACTTGTAGAGGGTTTCAAGAAATTGATCATTTGTTTCTAATTATGTTAGTTTCATTGACCTTCATCTCATTATTGCCTTCTCAGGTTCCTTGATCATCCAAAATCCTCTGCTTCGAACAATACCGGGATGATCTCCGCTTCGAACAATTAACGGTAACCGATTGCGACATCTACGACCATTTTTCATTCTCATTAACACCTAGAGACGAGAGGTGTACATAATGAGCTCTTCAAGATGTTCAAGCAAATTAATGAATAAACATGGCAGAAATTTATGAAGGATACAACAGAAGCAAGATGAAAAATACATAATCCGTTTATGAACAATGGTGAAGAAATTACTGGGAAGACTACAAATGACCATAACTGTGCTAACACTGAATAAGCACCAAGACCAGATGTGGTCGCCATTGTACAAATTGTGGAGATTCAATGAAATAAATACGAAAATTTCACAGGTCGAAAGAAACTATGCGCAAAATCTCTGTACGAGCAACCTTGATGTTTTATGATTTTCTGATGGAATCACAGTGTGTTGCAGAAGACGTTACAGATGTAGCACTGCCATTGTCTTAGTCGTGCAAGAAGAAGCATCTAATTCATGAGCCATGCGATTCCTAGAAATATGGCACCAACTCATCTCCGTGTTAGACACATCACACACGGTGAAGAAATCCAACACCTGACCAAATATTTTAAACATTTCAACACCGAATATTAGGCACTTGTCGGCAACGAAAACAGGGTTCCAGTCCATTGGAGCATCAGGGTGTCTTGAGACCTCGGTCCATGTAAGATACAACATATCTAGCTCCCACACTTTCCTCACCGCCTTGTTTCTCCGACCAATTTGTCCATCTCCCTCACACCAAGAGACGGAAAGAAGAAACAAGCGACCATTACAAGAAACGAGTTTCGGATAGTATTCGTGAACGTGGGGAGGAAATGTGGAGGTTTGGATTCCAATCCAGAAGCCTCTTTCTATGTCATAACCTGCTAACTTGCCATTCTCGGAGCAAACATAAAACATCCCATTACAAACAACCCCAGAGCAAACGACCCCAAAGTCTATTGGCAGTTTTTGGATTTCAGTCCATTTATTTGATACGGAATCATAGATTTCACCAGAATTCAGTGGCTCATCCCAAGATCCAAGACCTCCAACAGCAATCAACACGAATCTTTTACAATCCTTCATATTTGGTTGTTCACTTCTTTGTCTGATAAACTTGTATGATTTTCTATTTGGTAATGATGACGGCTCGTTTACACCGAAAGCATTTCCATACTGACGTCTGAGAGAAAGCCTGTGAGGATCCTCATAAACATCTGACACCCCACCAACTCGTGATCTGGGAAACTGCCTCTCATGTCTATTCTGATGGCTTTGAATGATTGAGAAATCTGAACAGACCTCGGATACTCCTAAAATAGGCATTGATCTAGCATACCTCATAGATGATACTTTGCGCCAAGATTTGGTGAGAGGGCTAAAGATCAATACACCTTTATGCGTCTTGAATGAGCTCCTATCCACCCTCCCAAAGTTGGTTAGGCTTGAGCAACCTCCAACAATATAAACATCATCCAGTATACTGGCAACCGAGAACATGAACCTTCCTCTTAGGATATCAGCACCAACCCTATGCCATTGATCTTGAGACACATCCAGTGCATGTATCTCCCCAGAGCAATAGCCATCTTTAACAGCACCAAAGAGAAACAACCATGGTTTTTGAAATAAACCTTCTCGTCTCATCTGCAAAAACCTGGGAGTTGTAGTCAAATTTCTCCATTTCTTACACACTAGGCGGGCATTCATAAGGCTGGTCAATGGTAGTATCACCAAGCACATCTCAAGAATGTCATCTGGAAGAAAGATATGCATCCTGCTGTTTCGTACCGATTCCTCAAGATCTAAATCCTTTTTATTGATTTTCTTCCAAAACTTCTCCCTCATGCCATATGAGAAGCAATCAAAATTATTATCCTCAATACCACAAACTGATTTGTACGCCTTTCCGTCTTCACTGGTACTTGACCTTCTCCTCCAACTTGGATCACCTAACTCCTCACCGGTGTCCGCGCCAACTTTGCAACCACCACCTCTACCGTATAGAGTAAGACATTTCAAAGAAACCCCTCGCACCTTATCCTCTTCATCCCCATCAGCTATGTGGTTTTTCTTCCTCGACTTCTGGCTAACACTCCTCACTAGCCGTTTCGACACAGTTAGAGACTCAAAATCCTGACGAAGTGATTCCTCATTCGCACTCTCAGCAAACATTATGGTCTCCAACTCTGGGCATGCAAAGGTGCACACCCATTTCTATATTGCTGGCTGCATTTTGGTTACTTAAACTCTTGCGTCTACAGAAAAAAAAACGTGATGAGATTGCAGCCAGACAGACACACATACAATAGGGGAAGCAAATATTAGCATAGAGCATTAGAGCTATGAAAAAGCAATATTAAAACAAGAAACGGTGAAACCCTTGCCATAATCGGATAATCTGAGTCAAAGAAGACAAATATCATAATATTGAATGCAAAGAGAAAACATTGAATTGATTATGAGAGCTTCTAAAAAGAATCAGACAAGCAGGCAATGGAAGATGAAATCAAATCGAAATGAACGATGTAAAAGCAAAACGAGAACAACAATGATTCTCGTTACATTATATTACTTCCAGAAAATACATGCCGACAGTAGTAAATTAAGTATAATCCAGCTAAAGTCAACGTTTTCGCAGGAATAAATTCTCGTTTACAGATCCATATACTCCATTTAAAAATAATATATAGATTCACAGCACACGTTTGAATCAGAGCCAAATGAGATCGCCAGATTTCCTTTCCCATTTCGTTTCAAAATAAATTAATGGCAATAATTTAGCTCAACAAATGATTCAAAATATAAAAGATTAATTCCTCATAAATCTGATCTAAAAAAAACTCTCGAGAAAAACTTACATTGCAGCAACGAGAAATCGAGGGTTGAAATCAACAAAAGCAGGAAGACAGATGAAAAATAATTAAGCAAAAAGGGATCGATTATTAGAATCCATGGAAAAATTAATTAACAAAAATGAGTGTTTGGTTGGTAAAGCGACTCGGTACTGATTGAGAAAAAGCGACACCTCAACTCAGCAAAAAAAAAAACTCGACTCAGCTCTTAGATTTATCTTTTGGTCATTATCTGCCTCTCTCTTCCATTTTTTGTTTTTTGGTAAGCATTTTCAAACTTCATATGAAGCTTCCACCTTTATATTATATGCCACGCCTTTCATAATTTTTATTATCGTGCAAACAAATATCACAGCCGTCAATCACTTCCGCACAACTTCTAAGATCCACTTTAGTGGGCTCGGCTCTCGATGATCTAACGGCTGTGATGTTTCTCAAGGTAACTGACAGACGGTGGCATTTTCATTTCTTCTTCCTTCTTTCTTAAATAATCATAAAAAGTTGGTCTAATTGGTCTTTAATCCCTATACTATACGTAGATTTGAAATTTAATTTTTTACTTTAATTTGAAATAATATGATGTTTTACTTTTATAGTTATTAAAGGTGTGAAGTAATAATATTGTTAGTTTTTTTAAAGTGAATTCTTTTATTATTATTATTATTTGATTACATGAAATTATAAATTTTCCACGTCAGTCAAATATTTTAAAATATGTTATATTAAATTAAGAAATCAATAGAATTATCGATTAAAACAAACTAGTAACATTATAGGAAAATAAAAACACTTTTTTAGTTTTATTATATATTAAAGTAAAAATTAGAAGCAGCATTGTTAAAATAAAGGTCAAATTCTTCTGGTAGTACTTGTACTATTGGTAACTTATAGATTTAGTGCATGTATTATAATTTGATCATTTTTAGTCTTTTTACTTTTTGAATTTTAAAATTTTGGTCTTGAATCAAATAATGGGTAGAATTTATTAAGTCAAATTCCACTATAGTCCTAATATTATGTGTAAATTGTAAATTTAATGTATGCTCTTCAATTTGATTGTGTTTAATTCTCATAAATTATTCATATTGTATCTCTAAATAGTATCATTTAATTTAGAATAAAAAATAAATTTTGAAAAATAAGAGTATAATAATTGAATAAATTGAAATATGGATACTAAATATACAATTTACAAATAGAATAGAAATTAATAAACTAATTTAATATAAAACAAAAAGCTCAAATTTGGAGTGAGTAAAGTTGAAATTAAACCTAAAAAGTTAAAATGAAATAAATAAAGATTGGTTAGGTTTAATTACAGGACGGTGGATGATATACGTATGGGTGTTTAATGAGTTAAGTAGCTTTTGAGTAGTTTGAACTTAATACGGTTAAAATTCGATAAAAGTTCAATTTGAATTGATTTAACTTGAACTTGAATTCGACTCGAGATCTTAATAAGCTGAATCGAGCAAAGTCTAACTTGACTCGATAAGTTCGCGAGCAACTCATTAATTTTTTATAATATTTTACTAGTTATCTTAAAAAATTATTTTATTAAAAAATACTAATTTACTAGTAGATGATAAATTACTAATTTATTATTATTTTTAATAAAAATAAAAAAAATTAATATTTAATTAATAATTAATAATTATTATTTTACTATACTAAAAAAATTAAACCCTAATTATCATTTCAATATATTTGTGGAGTGTTATTTTAAAGTTTAAACTTTCAATTTGTTTCATACACTATTTTGATTAAAACAAATTGTTAAGTTTATCATTTTATGTTTATACTAAACTCTATATAGTATTAGTAGATTTCATCTATAGTTAAAATATAAGATAAAAATTTTGGTGAGTTTAACGAAAAACAACAAGACGAACAACAAGGCGACTAACGAGCTTAGCGAGCACGAGTCGAGCAACAAATTTTTTTAATGAACACTAATCGAGTAAACTTTTAACGAATTTAACAAACGAGTCAAATCAAACAACAAATATTTTTAACGAGCACAAATCGAATATTATTAAACTCATGATCAATTCACTCAATAAACAACCCCCCAGATATATGTATGATATGAGGTTGAATTTCGGAGAAGTGGGCCAGTGGTTGAGAGACGCAGCGAAATGCTCGGCGTGAGAGTGGCCGTCTGTTTCTGAGGTAGTTAGATGTCTGGACCCTACCCTACTTCCATGGTCCAACTTTGAATACAACTTTTATTTCCTTTTTTTAATATTTTTATTTGATCGATATGATTTATTCATCGATTAATTCAAATAGAGTATTATAGATGTTTACTACAAGGGTGATCTCTTAATTTAAATTACCTCATTACAAAAAATAATTTTGAGTTTTTGAGGAATGTTATTAGGGATGATAAAAATGCGACTCATTTTGACTCAATTTTTTTTACTCAATTGGACTCGATTTATAATTTCATAAACTTGATTCAAATTTTTTAAATACAATTTAAGCTATAAAATAGGGTAAATTACGTGTTTAGTACCTAAACTATCAATTTTGTTATGTTTTAGTACTTAAACTTTCAATTTTTAAAACCATACTTAAAGTTTAGTTTTTATTTCATTTTAGTCCCACTGTTAAAAATTTGGTTTTTGTTTCATTTTAGTACCCCGTTTAAAATTTATGTTAAGCTTTGAAGAAAAAACGAAAGTTTAGGTATTAAAACAGACCAAAATTGATAGTTTAAGCACTATATGCGTTAAGTTTTTAACGACACGTACTAAAATGAAATGAAAACTAAACGTTAGGTATGATTTTCAAAAAATTAAAAATTTAGGTAATAAAACAGACTAAAATTGATGATTTAGGTACTAAATGTGTAGTTTACCCTATAAAATAAGACTTGAATAACTAAAAAATTTTATCGATTAGTGAATTGGTTTTCAAGTTTGTGATGAGTAGCTCAACTCTACATGATATATGTATATTTTATATAAAGAAATATATATGTATATCGTATATGGTTATAGATAATTGTTTAAATTGGAGCAAATTAATATCATAATACTATAAATATTTACAATTAAAGTTAAACAAAAACTAGAATAACTCGACTAAACTTAATTCAACTCGAATTTCATAAATTCAATTTAAACTAAAAAAAATTATGTTGAACTTATATTTTGATATAACAAATATTTGTAAAATTGATTTTGGACTCAATCAAATATTTCAAAAATAATTCAAAGTCCATAATATGTGTTCTAAATTGTTTTATATATATGCAATATTTTTTAGTTAATTAAAATATGTTTAAAGTGTTTAAAGCTTTTAAAATATGAAAAACACTATTCAGTCACTATTTGACCTTGTTCATGATATTATTTACACACGGATACTATTAACAGTTTTGAAACTTTTGTTAAAGTTTCGAAACTTTGACCCACCAAACTGTGGCATCATTGAAAAAATATGCAAATGTATAGGAATCACAACTACGTTCATATGCAGTCGGTTCGAATTCTCTGATACTGTTTTTGTAGTTGAGTATGCTTTATGACAGAGCTTATCTAGGCAGGCAACTGCATGTTATTTCATTTACGTTTTTCACTTTGCAGATAGATTCATCTCGACGTGAGTGGATCAAAGTGGATAACTGGGACATCTCACTATTGGTATGGGTCATTTTATTATTATTATTATTAGTATTTTTTTTGGGGGGGGGGGAGTGGCGAGTATAAATAATTTAATCATGTTAATTTGTTGCATTGTAAAACTGGCTGGTGAAGGCCTTGGTCAATCATAACCACTATCAGAGACTGAATTCATATGTTTCACTGCAAATGTGATTAGTCCCTTAATGTGAATTTGGGCTAAAAGATTCAAGAACTTATCTCCGGTTCATACATTTGTATATGTTGTTAATATATGTAAGGCATAAGTTGCATATGCATGTGTACATGCCATCTCTCCAATGGTTTTGCTTGATATCTCTAGGATTTCTGTATTTCTTCCTAACCATTCACTGAGGCAGTGTTTTCTACACTTTCATGTTACTGGTTACCTCTATGTTCTTAGAGATGCTGTTAATTTCTAGCTCCTTTTGTTTCAGTTGTCCATTGTTTCTTAACCTCTGAAGTATTTCCCCATCTCTGCATTTTAATTTATAGATAAGGAAGAAGCCAAGGCATACTCGAAAGACATTTCCTCTTGTTGTGGACGGTGAGACTACATGGAGTTTACATTATTCCTCTTATCAAGTACTTCTTAAAGAAACTTTTTTTAATTTCTTAGGCAGTAGTTGTCCGTAAAATGAATTACATCTTCTGGAAAACTTTTTACGGTGTGCGGAAGATGTTGGGTAAACAGACCCTTAATGCATATCTGAAATATTGATTCTTATTTTGCTATCAAACTCATGCAGTTAACAGAATTGATAAAGAACGGATCCGTTAAGCAAGGAGATGTTAGCAAACTTCTATGCGAAGATTTGAGCGTGCACTGCAGCAGCGGGTTCGAGGTATGGATGATTTTATTTGTTCTCTTTCCTCTCTTTTCAAGAAACCAGTTCTGGCTGCATCCTAAAATTCTATGTCAGTCTGATTTTATATAGTTTACAGCCTCCTTTTGCTGCAGTTTCACCAACACTCATTGTATGGTGTTCTTACACTGTCACTCATTTGTATGCAGTGATAGCGATTCAGATTCTGATGGTAATGATGAACTATAGATCATTGAAATCATCGTGGTTCAGTGGGAGAAGAGTTTTTATGGAGAAAAAAGTTCCCATGGGCTGCAGCAAACTGAAACGTGACTGTTTAATTGAGATTGCTTTCTGTAACTTGAAACAAAATTTTGGCCTTTGGACCATATTGAGATTTCTTTCTGCAACTTTAAACAAAATCTCGCTGTATGGACCATGCATTAGTTGCTTCCACCTTCAAATCATATGCCTCCTTGGTTCTTTAAAGTGAAACCTCTTCGATTATGCTCAATATATAGAGAGATAGAGAGAGACAGATTCAGTCGTATTGCGTTAAACATTTCAGCTTTATACCTTTTTAGAATAGTTGGATGAGTGAAAATAGACGGTTGAAATTGACGATAATAAATGAGAATATATTCATAGGAAAAAATAAGATAATCTCAACAACCGTCTATTTATGATCCTAAAAGGATGTAAATAAATGTGCATAGCATCTAGAAAACTCCAATAATGATGTCAATTATTTAATTTATCAAGAGTGCTAGAACATATCTCTCAAGATTCGGTTTATTTACACAGGAGGAAGCAGATGAAGGAAAAGAAAGAACAATGAATCCTGCAAATCGGAGGTACAAGATGGGCTAGCTCTGGTGTACAGGATTTCAAAACTCTAAAGGAATCATATTCTACATGACAAGGATGTCCCTGAATGAAGGGTGAATGTCAGCCATTGTGCAAGGGGGCAGCTGCAGCTACCCGGTAGAAAAATGCCAAGACCATTTCGCCCTCCAATGCGTTTGGGAAGCAAATATCTTTCAACCGTTCCCTGTTTCATCAGTTACAGTGCAGCACACCCTTTAGTAAATTCAGCCCTTCCGATGATACGTTCCTCTGAACACGGGTTTGTGGTATTTCTATTCGAGGGGGAGGATCAGCTGAGAAACAAACCACGATCACCGTTAAATTATCACTAGTGTTGCGCTTCAATGCCTCCCTTACAAGCTCTCTTGAGCACCTTTCGGGATCGTTATGAAGCATCAGCTCTTTCCTCGCCATAGTCACGGCACACTGACTGCTCATAACATCCCACAACCCATCACACCCCATTATCAAGAATTCATCCTCCTCACTCAGGTCTGTCTCTTGCAGCTCCGGCTCTGCACTTAAAGGACAGGCAGATCCCATTGGTGCCTTCATGTGCCAGTCTCCGAGTGCACGTGCCACAGATAATTGCCCATTAAGGTAGCCATCATAAATTACTCCGCCGAGTTTCTCAATTCTTATTCTTTCAGATGTGCAATTAGGTTTGTGATCCTTGGACATTTCGATTGCTCTACCTCGCCTTCCCAGAACAGCTCGACAATCTCCAGCATTTGCAATTACCAAGGTTCTTTAAACAAATACTAATGTTAGAAGAGCATTCATGGAAATAACATCCAAAAACAAATAATATCGTTGCAGATCAGTGGCTCACTTACCTTCCGAAGATAAGAGCAGTTAATGCAGTGGTGCCGGAGGATATATCAAGAGAACTGCCATCTGCAAAGGTATAATCAGCTTTCAGAAAAGCACTCTTCATCGCCTTCTCCACACAAATTGGAAAATGAGAGTCTTCAACTATGAATTTAAGGATATTCTCCCTAATAAATACTGCCGCATCCGTTCCTCCATGACCATCAAAAACCTGTCCACATGTATTTGCAAGGTTCAATGGAGTGATGACAAACAATACGATATCGGTAGAAGCAATAGAAGTACATGAGTTCTTCACTACAGACTAGCAACCATGACAGATTGAAGGAAGTGCATAAATCAGATACCACATAAATTAAGATGGTTCAACTCAAGATTACATATTAACCACATGGAGCAGGTCATATATGGTAGATTCTAACAAGCATACCCCATAGAAAGCTCCCGGAGAAGGGAACTTTGCATTCGTCTCCAGATGTCCGAGAAGATCATCTATGCAAATGTGCTCATCCTCCATATACTGTTTTGGTCCTATTTCCGAACAACTTCCCGATCGCAGGACAGGAAAAAGCTCAGTTTTTTCATCAGAAGATGACTTGTGAACTACAATACCAACATCCAATTCCTAGAGAAGAGAAAAGCAGTAAGTCAAAGCATTTCACAAAATGGTGTGTGAGAAAGTAGAAACACAAAATATAAAAAGGATAATCCTTATTTTCTCCTAAAAACTCGATCTGATAGGAGAACATGACGAAAGCCAAAAGGTTATGCAGCAAAAAATGCAGGCAAACATGGTCTTAAAAACGCCGCTTGAGGACTACAATTACTACCCTTACGTAATGTAGCACAATTATAACTTACAAGTGAATTTTCATTTTAAACTAAAAACTAAGCTGCATTCAGATTTTATGCTAATGTAGAAAGTCCTTAAAGCTCAGGCTCCTGCTTAATGATGAAAAGAGGGATCAGATTAGAGAAAAGATTAAACATACCAAATTCGCCTCAGCAATCATCCTCCCCGAACTCACACAATGCTGCATAACCGAGAGGTGACGCGGAGGTTTCCAGAGAGTGACTTGTTTTTCATTATCAAAATTCTCATTGTCCATGCCTGATACATTACCCTTAGTGTAACCGCCTTCTATGATTGCCAATGGAGGTGAAATATCCATACTCGCAGCCATATTCCTTTCCAACCATAAATCGAAAACCTCGGAAGAACACTTTCAAGTTAAAGCAATATAAGCCAAACCCTTTATATAAACACAACCGAATTCTATAAAGCAACTTCTCACAAATGTTCTCAAATAAAGTTGAATAATCAAAACCTCTCCCAATTTATAATTCTTCAGACAAAATCAAAGCCCCTCGGATAAAAAAATAGCTAGTAAGAAAAAATCACCCAAGCAATAAGAAAGCTGTAAAGTTTTCTATCCAACAGCAAGGAATCGATGTCAGCTCTCAGATAAAACTACCCTTAAGCAGATGGCATGAAAAAAGATCCAATCTTTACATGAAACTAAGCCCTTAAATTACCCTTGATGAAGGTATCCAGCCAACCAGGTAAAAATTGGGTTTTTTTTTATAAGAACTCGAAGCAGTTGGCAAAATTAAAAGAACCCCAGAGCATAACTGCAGAAACAACCACCCAATCGATGAAAATAACATCAAAATTCATTTTACAGAAAGGGAGAGAGAAACAGACGATTAGAGCAGTAAAGAACAAGCTCCAAAGATTCGAATAAAGCTGAAAAGAAAAGCTCACAAAGGGGGGTGTAGAGATGATGGATTTGTTGGTGCTTGGCGCTTAAATTTTCTACTTTGGTGAAATTGTGAGATTGATCCAAAAGAGAGAAAACCCTGAGAACAACAGACAGAGAGAATTGGACGATGAAAAAGAACGTAAATAAAATAAAAATTAAAGTTGTTCCTTTGTTGCTATGTGGTTGGCCACCGGCGATTCCGGGTAATCAGCTGGATCTTCTAAGCTGTCGCGGGCCGAGGATGGCTCTGTGACACGTGGCTTTCAATTATTGTTGGAAATTCGAGGTTGACCGGATGGGCTTTTGTTTTAGTTAGTTGCATCCAGAGATTCCCAGCCGTTGGATCTATGTCTCGTTGCTCCTTTTAACGCCTTGCCAGAGCTTAGAGGTTAGGTTCGTTAACGTCTGTTAATAGAGAGCCTCGGATTCCCGGGAATGACGTGGCTGCCTCTCATTGGAGGGAAGTTATTATTTCGACTAAGATTTAATCCTCATCTCTATTTTACAAAATCTCTATCTCTACTCTAAATATGAAACAATAATTCATCTCTAATATTATCTTTATATTACCATTAACTTTATTTTATACACAATATTTAACTATTATAATATTAATTTTATAAATATAAAATAATTTATAATAAATATCAAGATAAAACATTCATAAATATCATTACAAAAATACAAATAAATAAGTAAATTACATTATTGTGTTTGAGTTGTTGGTTAAAATGTTGTTTGAGTTTTATTAGTATTTTCTATGTTTTTATATTTGTTGCAGTTTTTATGTTTCAAAAAATTAGTATGTTTATTTATCTAATTTCAATGTATTTTTATCTATTTTATAAATTAATCTATTTGAATTTAAAAAATTAGAAAAATACAAAAAATCAGAAAAATTACAAAAAAATTAGTATGCTTATATATCTAATTTCAATGTATTTTTATCTATCTTATAATTTAATCCAATTGAATTTAAAAAAATAAAAAAAGAAAATTGTAGCGCACACTACAATACCGCGCCTAATGTGATGCGGACTGTAACGATTCTCCAAAGTGGAGATGATTTTGACGATGGGCTGGAATCTTTTTTTCTCCACAGTGGAGGTATTCTCCAATTGTGGCACAACATTGGAGATGCCCTATGATACTATTAGATATATAACTAGGGATTCGACCTGATTAGGTCGGATTTTTTTTTAAAAATTTGGGTTCTGATCGGATTTTTTAAAATGTGATGTTCGGGTAGAGTCAAATTCGAATTTAGAGTGAAAAATACCCAACCAACTCGACTCGGGAAAAAATAATTTTACCTTATATATTTAAAAATAATTACAATAATACCCCTCTATATATTATTTTTTCAATTAAGTTACTGTTTTTATTGAATAAAAATATTATTTTTTATTATTTCGTGTTGGGTCGAGTCGGGTTTGGATTTTCTCTAAAAAAATTAGGTCAGGTTGTCGGGTGAAAGATATAAAATTTTAGGGTCAGGCATGGGTCGGGTTGACCCATCCCTATATACAACCAAGACTTCTTTTTCGGGTTTGATTTTGATTATTAAGTTGAAAAATGTTCAACGTATTCTTATGTTTGTTAATATTAGGTTTAATGTTAAAAATAAATCTCTAAATTTTAATTTTGGCGTCTAAAAATTTTTTCGTTAAAAATGTGTTTAATGTTTTATCTGTTATGCTTGTAGGTGTTTATCATTAAAAATCGTTGAGTGACATGTGTTATGTTTTTTCTAAAATATTTTTAAATATTTTTTTAAAAAATTAATAAATATAAACATAACACGTATCACTTAATGATTTTTTTAATGATATATGCATCTAAAAGTGTAATAGAAAAAAAGCCAAACACCTATTTTTAATAAAAAAAAAATCTATAAATATCAAAAGTTAACATTGAGTATAATTTAGACAGTTATTTATGTGTTAAGCCTTAATATTATTTAGGTTTGATGGTTCATGAAATGCTCTAATTAAAATGATAATAGTTTATTCATTACTTTTTATTTTCAATTAAGTTTTAAACTACAAATTAATTATCATAATAATTTAACCTACAAAAATTATTATTAACTATTATAATAATATTGATGTAATATTTATATGTGAATAGTGATATAACAATCCATGATATTATGTAACAATTGATTGAATATAAATTTAAAAATATATAAAATTAATATTATTAGATATAGTGAGCAGTAGAATTGAATTTACGGAAGTTGAGAATAGGGCTTGATATATAAATAAAGGGTAAATTTCACGGATCTTCACTATACTTTACTATATTTCCTATTTCACTCATTTTACTTTAAAACTGATCAATTTCATCACTGAACTTAATATAATTGACAAATTTGATCACTCGGCCGTTTCTCCCGCTAATGGTCGTTTCCAGAAACCCATTTCCCTTTCGATCCATCGTCTCCGGCCATTGTCGCCACCAGTAGTCCCGATGTCATCTCTCGAGTAAAATCCAACATCGATCGTAAAAACGTCGCAAATTGTGAGAAAGTCTCTCGATGCCACTATTGATTTTTGCGATTTTCGGCCGATTCCATCGCCGTTGTACCTTACCACCTTCACCTATGAGTTCCTTGCCTAGTTCCGACCGAAACCCAGGTGGTATTGTCCCTTTGTTGTTGCTCTATCATCGTGCATATGGGCTTGAGACGACAGTGGTGGGAGTACGGGAAAAGTCCGTTAGTGGGGGAAATGGCGAGTGACCAAATTTATTAATTATATTAAGTTCAGTGATGAGTTGACCATTTTTAAAGTATAATGAAACATAGGAAATAAAATAAAGTACAGTATAATTTACTCATAAATAAAATAGATATTGGGATGGAAAGTAAATAGTAAAAAATGAAATGATTGGTTTCTTAAACCGAAAGCATAAATTTATTCTTTGCTTCATTTCAACCAATCAAATCATTACTTTTGTTAAAAAAAACATGAATATTATCCCCTCCCCCCTCATTATTGATCATGCAATGAAATACAGTACACGTGACTGCATGCCATTACGATGGTGCTCAGCTCTCCATATTCCCCGTACCCATAACTTACCAAGCTTTAGCTGCTGGCTTGCTGAAAGTATTCCATCCTCATTTGTTCATTCCAAGAGAATGAAACGCACGTAGTGGTCATTATAGCGGTTCCTTCTGATCCTAGAAAACGTCCCAAAAAACCTGCTACTCCACTACCGAGAAGGGGAAAAAATACGATAAGTAGATACATAATTTCGAGTGTGATCAGACAACAAAAAATCAGACAATGTATTTCAACAGATTTCTGGTTTCATAAAAGGCAGTTTACCTGTGAGATACTTAGGTATTCCTCTTGTTACTCGTAAACTTACTGAGAAGGATTGTGTTGTGTTTATTGATAAAATTAAATAGAGGCTTCACCATTGGCCTACTAGATATCTGAGCTACGCTGGCAGACTTGAACTCATCCGCTCTGTCCTTTTCAGCGTCTCAAATTATTGATGCAGACAGCTTATCCTTCCCAATTCGATTCTTATAAAAGTGGACCAGCTCTGCTCCAGATTTTTCTGGAAAGGTGACGACAAGTCTGCCACAGGTGCTCGAGTAAACTGGGATTTTATCTGCTTCTCTAAAGCCGAAGGTGGCCTTAAAAACACTAAATCTGGAACAAAGCGTGTTCTATTGATCTAATAAGGAAAATCTTAGCGGGTTATGGCTCGCTTTGGGTGGCTTGGTTAAAATCTTATGTTTTCAAAGATCAAGATTTTTGGAATTTTGTTGCAGGTTCTAATGTGAGCTGGAGTATTAATAGATTATTAAAATTGTGTTCTACAGCTCTCAACATCTTCTCCTCATCAAATTCTCTTAGGCTAAGAGATATTTGGGAATCAATCCGAATCAAAAGGGAGAAAGTTCCCTGGCAGAATCTAATTTGGTTTCCCATGCACATTCCTAAATTCAGTTTGATTGATTGGATGTCTTTGTTAAACAGATTACCAATTAGAGATCGGCTCCTCAAAATGGGTATTTCAACTGAAGGGACCTGTGTTAACTGCAGAATCGATCAGGAAACAAGAAATCATATTTTCTGTCAATGCACTCTTGTTGTTCGACTTTGGAGCTCCGTCCTATCGCTTAATGGCTTGAAGAATACATCCCCTACATGGGAAGAAATGGTTAATCGGGCTTCTTCAACCTGGAAAGGGAAATCCTTACTCATAACAATTCTAAAGATATCTTTGACAACCTATATTTACACATTGTGAGAGGAAAGGAATCACAGAATTTTCAAAGGTCGTCACAGATCTACTGATGAATTGCTCAAGGTTATTATTGAAGCAATGCGAATCCAACTAAAGGGTAAAAATATTAATCGAGCTGATAGAATTAATTCTAACCTTTGTATTGCATGGGGTATTACTTAACCAATCTTTGTCTTTTGTAAGTAGGTTGTGTATAATTCTTTTGTATTGATTGATTGATTGTATTTTGTAGCAGAACTCTGCTCTTTTGGATAATAAAAATTTGATTTATTCAAAAAAAATCAGACAATGACAGAGCGGCCTGTGATAGCTTGATCGACTTCCGGAGAACGCTCGATTGAAGGAATGAGTCACAAGGTGAATTGTAAGCCCCAACATCACTATGCCCTTTTTATTTCTTATAGCCGAAAATGTTAGAAAAAATTTACATTCTAGTTTGTACCTAACTAAAAATATTATACTTTTTATCGTATTTTCGGTTGGCTCTATTTCTTGTCATTTTTTAACCTTAAATTAAGAGATTGTAAAACAGAACTTCCCCATTGAAATAAAAAACTTTTTATTATACTGACTGTCTTTACAGAAAATTTTCATTAAGGCCACTCTGCTATTAATATGACTCACCATGATTGCATGTCTTTCTTTTAATAAATTAATGTACTTTAATAAAATAAGACACGTCGTTAATCTGATTCATTATGATCACCGGTGGCGAATGCAAAGCATACTTAGGGTGGACACGTGTACATTTTGGAATATGATTTTTTTATATTAATTGTTTATTTTATTATTAGTGTTCATCCTAAAATTTTATTTGTGACTACACTCATATAAAAAATTCAATTATTAATGTGTGTATGGATCCATCACTTATGATAATTATTATACTCTAATAATATGACTATGTGTTTCATCATCGTATTAGTAAAAAAAAAAAGGAAAGAAATATGAATAATTAAATCCAAGACTCTCGGGAAAGGGTCTTACACAACCACTACACCAAATTAGAAATTTGTTATATTGTCTTGTCTCCCGCATCTCCTTTCGAAGGCCACCCGGTTTCCGATACCATGATCTCAATCGAGGTATTTTGGAAGCCGACAGCATCCATAGCCGACCTAACAACATCAATATGTGCATGGAGCATGCTATGGTAGAGGTAACCCTTAGGGTCATGGACCCCTGTGGAGTTCCCTAGCGATGCATACTCTATATCAGCTATATTGGGGTTAATCCCTATAAGCAAAATAAGGGTAGGCATTGACCATGAAAGGTGCAGCGGTATCGGCCAGAAACCCGACAATCGTGCTCATAGTGTGAATAAGCTTCGTAGTAAAGGTCGAAGCCAAAGGCGGGAACGAAGAAGCAAGAACCGCCATGCTACGCGGTGGAGTGACCTCGATCTTACGGTCGAGATCACGTTTTAGTAGCATGCGTGTACACTTAAATGTGTATATATAATGCATATGTCTAGACCATCTAAGGGTTTTCAAATAAAGGAAGGATGCAAATTCATAGCAACAAGTAATTAAATCCAAAGATGATTGCAGCTGCATGCATTGAAATGCTAATCTGTTCATGTCACTCTGCTGTCTGTCATTACAAAATGAGTCTTTATATTCTGTTTACATGAACATCGGAAAACAACTTTGAGCAGTAACTATACCATCAGCATGTAAAAAATTAACCATAATAAAGTTACAGCCGTTTAGGCCTCGTAAACTTTGCATTCCTTATCTGCCGGGTTTGTCTTGCAGTAATCCTCCAAGGAGTCACCGGTTCCGGCTGCGGCAGTGCCGGGCCACTTGGCCGCCACCAAATGTGCCAAATCGACAACCCTTTGGCTGTGCACGCCAGAGAGTAAAAGTTATTGATCTACAAATTCAAATATAAAGATATATAGTCTGTTTATTTCTTGCTTAAAGCTCACCTGTAACCCCATTCATTGTCATACCAGGCCACCACCTTGACCATGTCATCTCCCATGACCATAGTCAAGGAAGAGTCGATGGTGGAGGAGACATCGGAGCACCTAAAGTCCACTGAGACGAGAGGAACATCGCACACTTCCAATACTCCCTTCAATGGTCCCTCGGCAGACTTTCTGAAAGCTGCATTCACGTCTTCAGCCGAAATGCCCTTCTTCTCAACATTCACGACAAGGTCGACAACTGATACATTCGGTGTTGGCACACGAAGTGCGATCCCGTTCAGCTTGCCCTTGAGTTGGGGAAGCACGAGTGACACAGCCTTGGCTGCACCTGTGCTTGTTGGTACAATGTTCAATGCTGCAGCCCTGGCTCTTCTCAAGTCACGGTGCGAAGCATCTAAGAGCCTCTGGACCATCAACATTGTATTTTAGTTTTCTTCTTGCTCAAAGCAATTCATTCGACATATAATTATAAATGGTAATCTAATTGTTATGAATATGCATCGTGTTCGTGTTCGGTTAATTAGTTAGTATGATTACCTGGTCGCCGGTGTAAGAGTGGGTGGTTGTCATTGTACCCTTCACAATGCCTGCAAATTAGAGGTTTTGACAAAGTGAGAAAAGCCCCATCTCCAAAGTTTAAGCTTGTGAAATGATATCTGATTTACCAAACTCTTCATCCATGACTTTCACAAAAGGAGCCAAGCAATTTGTGGTGCATGAAGCATTGCTGCAGTGCAAGCACAAAATGGCAATCAATTTCTAAACCACTAGAACAAATCAAAAACGAGAATGATCGTTGTTACCGCTTTATAAGCAGGAAAAATCCTTAATCGAAACCGACCTGATGATGTTCGCGACCTCGTGGTCGTAATCTCCTTCATTGACTCCAACAACGTAGGTTGGAATATCAGCACCTTTAGCGGGAGCTGTTATGATAACCTTCTTGGCACCAGCTTGTATGTGTTTTCCAGCACCGGGACCGTCTACAAAGACTCCGGTTCCCTGTAAGATGCATGTCAAATTATTCGATTATCATTAAAAAAAAGGTTCCCTGTAGGCCAAATTCTGTTAGCACTAAGACCAACCTCGATAACAATGTCAATGCCAAGTTCAGCCCAAGGAAGCTTGAGAGGGTCTCTGCTAGAGACCACCTTGATGAGCTTACCATCAACACTGATGGTTTCATTGTCAACTATCTTCACATCAGCTTTGAATGTTCCGAGCATCGAGTCGTATTTCAGCAAGTGTGAAGCCTGTATTCATATTGTATACAGCGGTTAATGAACCGAACTAACCGAACCAAACCTCATAGTTAACTCTTCAAAAGCATGACAAGTGAGACAGGGTTACTTACATTCTTAACACCACCACTGTCATTTACGACAACAACCTCGAGGGGAGAGTCCTTCCTGCCATGCCAGCATCGGAGGAAGTTCCTTCCTATACGTCCGAATCCATTGATTGCAACCTTCAGTTTGGCAACTGTTTCTCCCCTAACTAGAGCTGATGATGCACCTACGGCCTAAATTTCAAACAGTTTCATGAATTAACTTGATAAATCACTTGGCAATAGCAAGCATGAACACGTTAAAGACCAGAGAATGAACCTTTGGGGTAAGTTGGGCAGCCAGCACATCGAAAAAGGATGCATCTCTAACGTTCTTGGTGAAGGTGACGCATGAGCTCGATCGAAGACCAGAGAATTCAGCCACATCCAGTCTCTGCACATCGAAACCGAAATGAAAAAAAATCCGAAAACCAAATCAATGGGCAACAAAGAAAACAACAGAGAGACCTTGGAGGAGCATTGAGTGGGGAAGGAGTGAGTGGTCTTAGAAGGAAGCCGAGTTCCGGCAGGGATTCTTGAAGGAGCTAGAGCAGCGTGAGTTGCCATGGCTGATGAGCTGCAATTAAAACTAAAACATCAACTCCCCCTCCACTGGATTATTTATACAGTTGAATTCGGTGTTTTGGGCTGGTACGTTTAAATTATGGTTGAAAGTGAATTAAAAGAATGTGTGGTGAATATGGTTTGTGGTGAGACACAGAGATTATGTGATAAGATTGTGTGGGAGAAGAATGCTCATGATTTGAGCCACAGCTCCTTCATCCGTTGTTAAATCTTTCTCGACTGCACATGCATTATTGCACTGTTTCGGAAATGACCATGTGTTTAATCACGACAAACAAATAATGGGATTTCAACAAAAATCTGCTTGGCGTTTGCGAATGAACGTAACGTGTAGCTTTAAAGCTAGCCCTAGAGAGAGAATGGCCTCAGGCTCAATGGAGCAGTGCCCAAGCTATAATTTTATGGCTATGGGATCATTTTTGGAGTGCGGATACTATTCAGATGCGGGAACGTACACATCATCATTTGATGTTAGAACGATGGATTTATAAAATTACAGAAACGAAAATAAATTATAAAAAAATATAAAGAAAATATTAAATTATGCGAGAATTTAAAATTTTGAAAGCTAACCCTTCGAGCCGGACATCTAAAATTGTAGTTACTTTGAGCATGGGTCATTCATACGCATCATATTGAATTCTGATAAACTCATGTTCGGGCTTTATTAACTTTTTAAGAGAGGGAGAAGCATGCAAAATATTTATTTGAAGTAAGATTGTTCCAAGTAGCAGCAAATTAAGCTCTTTATGAAACAAACATTACAAATTAGAAACACTTCAAATGTTGCTCTCTAAAACTGGTCGAAAACCTTTAACATCTTGCTTTAATGTATGAAAATGTTCTTTTTAAGTATTCGTTATTCGTGTTTCTTCAACCACGTACTGAAAAGACAGAGTTACAGCGTTTGTGAAGAAAATAGGAAAATTACAACAAATTCCCTATTATATCGTAATGATAAACCATTCAAATCATGATGTGAATAGCAAGGCAAATCATATGGCTGCTTCAATTTCATCAGAGCTCACAGCAACTCCATTTGGGGCGTCATCGGATCGAAGCTGACCGGAGACATCGTCAATAGCAGCGTTCAGCTGAGCAATCTTCTCGGTCAGTACCTTTCGTGTTTTCTACACAACAAAGGGCCACTTACTATTCTGCTTTTAAAGCTATACAGCTTAAACAAAACATAAATGCAGGTGCTTCAAATTCAAAGCATATAGTACTCCAATCATTCCAATATTTAGAAGACTGATTCTGTACAGGGTAAGTGCTCACCTCCAAAGCTTTTTCTTCATCGTATATGAATTTAGGCAGTTTCTTCATTAGGTCCTTGCTATCAGCTACAGTTAGTGCCTTGCTGATCTATAGAAGGCAAACGGCAGAATAATCTTACTACATTCCAAAAGAAATAGTCGAACACATAATAGTTCCCACAGTTCCAGTTGTAGGTTTTAGTCATATAAAAGGGTAAAGATCTGAATGATAAAGCTAGTTGATTATGAAACTATAGCCGAAGAGTATGCATAACGGAGTATAATAGGGCCATTTGCAAGGTAATATTCACCTGAGGGGCAAATACACAACCAAGTGCACCAACCACGAGCCCTCCCAAAACAAAACCCCCAACAAAGGCGCTTGAACTGCTTGACCTTCCACCATCACTGTAAGAACATACGAAGCAGACAACATAAAAGAGGGAATGGAATACATGCGCACACACACATACAAACTTAAGTATTCACTTGCTAGTACTTCTTTCAGCAGCTCCTAGTTACGAGAATATGAACTGTTAGTCAAATACTATCATGCATTCCTTGGCTTTAAATTGCCCCAAAGACAATACCTGTACGAAGCCTGAACAGTGAGTGCCCTACTAGAAGTAGAAAGATGCAGTTTCCTTAAATTGTTAGAATTGAATGCCAAATTGGTGCGGTTGGCACTCCCAAAGTTTTGACACCTTAGATGAGAACCTAGCAAAACAAAATGTGCAGGGAAGGTAACGAACAACCTTTTAAAAACCAAATGGATGGTTCACTGGCAAATGTACAAAATATAGCTCACATGGAACGGAAATCGGAGTTAATGTCAGCTTATTGCAAAGGTCGAGTACCACAAAGAGAAAAGGTAAACAATCTTATGATCTCAAAGGATGAACAATACCAAGACAATGATGCTATGATCCGATAAAACTCCGAAATCAGAAATGTGAATTAATGTTAAACCCAGATTTTTGCCACAAAAGACGTAAAGTGCTGAACTATAATGAACATCAAGATTAACAATTAATTTCCCCCAAAGCACTCCTAAAATTCCTAGCATTTGGAGTCAATACTACCTTAGGATTAATGGCATGCCAAGTAAAATTTTTTCAAAGAATATGCTGAGAAATAATAATCAAGTAAATCACAAACCATTTTTGTTGAAATAAGTGAGTAGCGATCTAAAGTTTGCAATAAGTGAAAGCAATTTGAAAAATAAGGGGGGTTGAAGTTGAAGCACTCAAATAAATGCAAGCCAAATAAAATTTAAAAGTAAAAGACATCAAGCATATTCAACTGCAGAAGAAACTACATTTAGCTAATTACTTTAGAATCAATAAAGCCTCAAAGGATCACTGTTCTAAGACCCGTCAACAGATTCAACACTGAGAAACGAATCTCGTTACAAGGAAACAGCGAGCATGGATGCATGTGTTCATATGATCTTTTTTTCAAACCATACCCCATTAAACATAAAAGAAGTTAAAAGGATTGTTTCAATTACAATGAATCCACAACAATAAAATAAATAAAAAGTATATGAACAAAGAGAGAAAAGAGAAAGGAAATGTTACCAGAAAATAGTTGGGTTGGAGGATTTGTTGATGAAACCAAGGAATTTGAAAGGATAGACATTTTGCAAGAAATGAAACGGGGACAGTTGAGCGTTTGAGGTAAACAAAATAAATAAACCCAACCCAGTAGCCACTTCCTCCTGAGTTGTGACTAGAGTGAGCGAGTTCGATTATCTATGCTGCCCTTGTCCAACAGCCTCGAGCTTGACGACCAAATTTCACCGTGGATCCGCTGCTCTCCTTTCGGCCCAATCTCTTATTGGACCGGTTCCTTCTAACCCTCAAAATTTTTTTCTTGATAAACTATTCTTTTAATTTCAATCTCTCTTATTTTAATTATAAATATTTTTAAAAAATGTTTTAATAATTTATGTAATTAGTTTATTATATTTTAATTACTGGTCAGTTAACTCTCAAATATATTAATGTGAGTTCAGGATTACTTCAAATTAAAAGAAAAATAATTTTTGATCAAAATTTGTAAAGTGAACTTGTGCTAATAACATACTCTAAATTTTCAACAATTTCTCTAATATTAATACTAGAAATCTTCAAAATATTAGAGAAATGAAACTTTCGATCAAGCCGGGGTCGGGCGACGGTAGAGCCAGAGCTAGTGTTGGGTCCGCATTGAGTGCCGAGTATTGGGGGCGAGGGATCGCCTCGGCCGCGTTGAGGATGGCGGTTTATGATGTGTTTTCGGTGTTTGAAGGGGTGGTAAGGCTTGAAGCTTTGGTAGAGGTGGAGAACGTAGGGTCCCAAAGGGTGTTGGAGAAGGTCGGGTTTGTTAAAGAAGGGCTGCTAAGGAAGTATGGATTTTGTAAAGGGGAAATCAGAGGCATGATCGTCTGCAGCTTCTTATCCACAGATACAATCACTTGATGGATGTTCCAAACTGAGATTATGTACTTTGGGCCACATATATTATCCACATATTTAATGTTTCAATGAGTGAGTCTCAATCGTTTCATCTAAAGATTAAAAAAATTAGACTTATATTTAAATTATATATTTTATTTATTTCCTGTAATTAAAATTTTTCTTAGTTAAAGTAAATGTTTATGCACGAATCAAACAATATACGTGGTAAAGGAATTATTTTATTCCTTGAAGTATCAAATTCGAGCACTATAAATATTAGGAGTGTGTGCATTCTATGTCAAATGATGAACAATTATCTTTTAACAGATATTATCTTTTAATTATCTCTTATTAATAAAAAAAAGTAAATGTTTATCATTTTTAATGTTATTATTTAAAGTGTTTGTTGATTAAGATCATTAAAAAATCCGTGAAACATTCAAAACATGATACCAAGTGTGTTTGAAAATTTAAAAAAAATAAAAAGAAATCAAATTATTATTTAAAAATCTAAAATTTCTCTAAATTTTAAAAAAGAAAAATCTAAACTTTTAGGATTTTTAATTCCAAAGTTTCATTATCGTTGTCGGTTACACCAAATGACAACCCACCAATCATCCCCATTGACCGGCCACCCCTTTATCATCGCTCGATCCCCAACTTTTTAATATCTAAACATTTAATTATTTTCTTCGTTCTCGCGTCGTTCTTCTCTCTTATCGTTGTTGATTATGAGCTTTTGACAGAAGATGAAGGGATTAGGAATTTAGGCATTTATGTTTAAGGATTTAAGAGATTGAGACAGAGACAAAATGATAATCGGTCAGTGGAGGGACGATGACGGATAATAAAACTTTAGAATTAAGAATTTTAAGAATTTGAGATTTTGTTGTTGATATTCTTGAGAGATTTTAGGATCATCTTAAAAATAATTCTAATTTTTAAAAATATATTCATACAAATGAGGCGATCCCATCATATCTAGCAACAGAGATATGAATTTATACAATAATATCATTAAGACGACCTGAACACATTGACCAACACCAACGTTGTCCTTTCCCTGTCGGAAGTAACCACGCAAATTATGACAAAGCATTTGTTTATAGCCAAAGACCGCGTCTCAAATGAAGAGGAAAAAAAACATAAGCTACCACTTGCATTTATAGGCTTCTGCCTTATTACATTCTTGTTAATTTTTGCGAAAATGGCTGTCGATTACAGTAAGGAAAGGTCGCTGGAGGAAACCCCGACATGGGCTGTTGCGGTTGTGTGCGCAATATTTGTGATCATTTCAATACTGATAGAACATGGGATTCATTCTCTGGGAAAGGTGATTAAACATTAATTACTTTATTACTGTCTACTCTAAACTTATGTTTCTGCTAATATTTGTGATTATAAAACCTTGTACTGGTTTCAAAAACGCCAGAAGAAAGCCATGATGGAAGCTTTGGAGAATATCAAAGCTGGTTAGTCTTTTATTTATTTATTTATGCACAGCCCTAGAAAACAAGAATAAAGCAAGAGGAGAAGGATCCGTGGGGATGAACAGCCATGCGTCGCCGTCCATGAGCGTCGACACCACGACGAGCCAAGGCACATCGCCCTTACACTTGTTACACAATCACAAACATCGGTCCACCGCTGTCGATCAAACGGACGGCGTTCTCAATTCTCCCACACATTGCAACTACGCTTACCCCTCCGATACGGAAATTTCTGATGTCGAGGTTTTTTCTCGTCCTCCTCGTCATGCGACGCCACCACTTGATCATCATCATCAACACCAACAACATACTGTTGATTTTTCTTTTGTCGAGCCTTGATTTTAATTCACTGGTTTCATTGTAATCTAAAAACAAATATTAAAAATTCTTGATTAATTTGTCTACTGGTATTTCAATCAACTGGTAGACTAACAACTCAAATACTGATTATCAATATGAAAAAAATTAATCAGACGCATCACGGTTGTGAAATGCTTGGATTGCAACACGGCTGTGAAATGCTTGGAAGACCCTCACAGGCTTCATGAACAACCCATCATCAGATGCATTCGCAACCTTCTTAACCGTCACCTTCAAGCATATCCCCCGTGGTAGAAATCGTCTGGCCGATACGATAGCCAAACTGGCCAGCCATAACCATCGGGGGCTTTTTGTTCTGCATCAACCAACGCAGGAGCTTCAAAATCTCCTAACTTCGATCGTTCCAACCTGAGTGAACGGTGTAATCACTGACTCAACTCTTCTTTTCAACCAAAATAAATAAATAAATATACACAGGAGTTTATGTTTGATACAACACTCATAGTACCATACTTGTTCATGTTTTCTCGATACGATAGATAAAAGGTTGAATTACAAATTACATCACTCAATCTTTTTCTTACTTCTATTTAGGTCACTGAAGATACTAATTTTTTTACCCATATCATTATCATTATTATTATTATTATTATTATTATCATCATTATTATTATTATTATTATTATTATTATTATTATTATCATTATTATTATTATTATTAAATATATTAAATATATATATAAATAATAATTACAGACCAATTACAACTGGACCGGCCCAGTTACAAACAAACCAGAACCGGTCCAGATCAAACCAGAAACCCTAAACATTTGGGGGTTTCAGTTAGGGTTTCCTAACCCTAATCTAACCAGCCGCCTCAGCTTGCTGCCGTTGGATCTGGCAAGATCCAACGGTCCAGATGGCTCCAGATGGAAACCCTAGGGTCTGATACCCTAGGGCCACGCGGCTGCCGACACTCTTTCGCCGCCTCCGCCGCTGCCACGTCCCAACCGAAGACTCCAGAAGCTAGAACACCCGTCCACGCCATAGCTACAGGGTGAGTCACCACTGGCAGTCCGATGACTCACCGAGACCCCCTCTTCGGACCAGTCCGATGGCCACACCGGTGGTGGCTATAAAAGCCACCACCCGAACTGAAAAAAAAAAGGAGAGAGAGACAGAGACTACACAGGAAACCGAGAGAGATACAAAGAAAGATACTAAAAACTACCAACGATCTCAACAATCAGTAGCAAAGAAACAGAAAAGAAAGAAAAGAAGAGAAAGACTTACCGAGGAAGCCAAACGCCGGATCTCATCAAAACCTTCGAAAAAACCGAAGGTATTCTTTTTAGATTTGCTCCGATTGGGAGCGTTTAACGGAAAAGAGCATCGGAACCGTCATTAGGACGGTCCGATCTATGTTTAGATGTAAAAAAAAATTTTCCGGCCACCGGAGACGGTGGCCGGCGGCGGTGGTTGACGGCGGACGAACGCCGACTGACGGCTGCCGGCCGACTGGCTTCTCTCTGTTCTAGAGAAGCGAGAGAAATTTTTTCTCTCAAAGAAGAGAGAGAGAGGAGAAGTAGAAATGAAGACTGGCCCTTCGGGCCAGCCGGTTTGGACCTTTTATAGTCCTTCCCAAACGACGTCATTTCGGGAAGGACTATGCGCGTAATTAGATAATAGTTAAACCCCGTCCGCCGTCCTCCTAATTTGTAAACATTACATTTTAGTCACTAAATCGATTTTAATATTTTTAATTCAGTCTTCGAATTTCAATTTATTCATTTTAGTCCTTTTTATTAAAATAATATATTTAGGATAAATAACAGAATTAATCCCTTAATTTTAATAAATAATATTTTAATCCTAGTTTATATTTTTAATTTATTTATTATAATATCCGAATTTTAGATGATTTTATTTTAGTCACTAAATTATTAAAGAAAATAACATATTTAATCCCTATAATTTTGATTATTATGAATTAGATTTAATTTTATTTTACTGTAATTTAGTCAGTTATTTTATATGTTTCATTTATTTTATTGTTTTTAAATATTGTTTTAGTAGTATTTTTATTTTTATTTTTTATATGAATAAATATTTTTATATTTCATAATATATATATAATAAATAGTAATTTTTAAATATTTATTTTAATATCGAAGAAAAGGGACAGTCTTAATACAACTGGATGTCCTATTCGATATTTTAAAATTAAAAAGTAAACAATATTATTAAATTAATATTTATCAATATCAAAGAAAAGAGCTGTCTTAAGGCACCTAGAAGTTCTTTTCTGATATTTTTAAATAATAAATATTTTTTATATAATTTGAAATAGAATTATAAATTAAATATATTTTTGAATTTTTAAAATTTTAATAATAGAGACAATTTATAATTAAAAAGTACCAATTTTGGGCGTTGTAGGGGTGATAATCCTTCCCTAAACGTAACCGACCACGAATCCCTTTTTATTATTAAAAGAACGAATTTTTGGTTAAACGCAGATCAATTTATCTTTTAATTGATGTTTCTTAAAAACCTTTTAAAAGATATTTTTAGGTATTCGACCTACCTGACCCAAAAGGCCGATGGCGACTCCCAAATTATTTTCAAAACCATTTATTCACATCAATTTCCCCCCAAAATAAATATTCGTGCCCGGACGAAAACCGGTTACGACAGCTTGGCGACTCCGCTGGGGACTCGGTCAAACTTTTAAAAATCAATTATAAATTGTCTCTATTAATTAAAAATTAAAATTCATATATTTAATTTTTAATTCTTTCTTTTCAATTTTTTTATTTATTTATTATTTTATATAATTATATGTTTTTTTTTATTTGCAAGTATTTATTATTTATTTTTCTGTCAGGTATGAACATTTCTCCTCACACACAACACTTGCATTGCATAACATAAAACTCTATAATTGAGTTGTCCCTTTAAGCGGGAGTGAAAGCGTCTTCGTGAGAATTTATTCTCCGTGTCAGACCTAGCAAGTAACTTTCGGGGTTCATATGCTCTATGTCTTCGTGAGAATTTATTCTCCTGTCAGGCATAGAGAAATGTATCCCCTCGAATTGAACTCGATCCACTTTAGTCTGTGATGGACTAGGAGGGTTAGCAACCCAGGGGGCACTAACAAGGACAATTCGGGTACCTTGATTCTTAGATCTGAAACCCTGCATATAAGAA